GCCATATAGTAGCCTTTGTAGAACTTGCGGGACGTCGAGAAGATACAGGTCTCGACGTCTTCGTGGCCCTTGTAGTAGATCTTCTGGGTTTTGGTGAGGAAAAGCCAGGGACCGCAGTAGAGGAAGGCGAACATCCAGACGCCCATTATTATGCGTTTAGCCCTGTGAACGGTGCAGATCTTCTGGGCCTTCATCGGGTGACAGATCGCGATATACCGCTCGACCGTAAACGCCGTGATCGATAGGGACGAGGCGTTTATGCCGAAGTACTGGAAAAAGATGAACAGTGCGCACCCGACACTGCCCCAGATCCATTTGTCGCCCAACACGAAGTACGCGATGATCTCGTTGGGCACGGACGCCATCAGCACTATCAGGTCCGCGATCGATAGGCTCACTAAATAGCAATTTGTCGGTGTCTTCATTCCCCGTGACTTGAATACCACGATCACCACCATTATGTTGCCCAACACGCCTGTCCACACCATCCCGAGAACGCATACATGTGTTCATTAACAGACAATCCATTAATTTATATTTTATGTATTTTCCATAAACGATTACAAATTTCTAGTAAATTCCTGAATATGCAGTGTTTTAAACTAAATTTTTATATTAAATTATAATTTGTATTTTGTTTAATAAATTACAAAATAGAGAATTTAATGTAAGAATTTGTATAATTCCGTAATTTAATAATTTTATGTCAAAACATTTGTGTAAGTGTTTAATGAGTACTTTATTATCATAATATTAATTTAGGACATAATAGCGACTCTTATTATGCATTATATAATTTACACAAACAGTCTATGAATAATAAATACTCATTAAATGCTATACAAACTTTTGTTTTTGTTATATAAGTTTGTATATAATTTTTACATGAAATATCACATAAATTATATTATATATCTTATGTATACTTTATTAAGTAAATATTTTATTTAAAATAACTTTTTATGAGAAAACTTAATTAATTTCTAGTCATTTGAAAAGAAAATAAATTATTATTAAATTAATATAATATAAAACTTCAAAATAATTCATACATATTGTAATAGAAAATTATAATAAATTGAGAAATACAGACCGACTATAAGTATGATCCCCTGAAATATGGTGCCTATGATGGTGTAGGGAAGGGAGTAGTACTGGGGGTCCAAGTAATGTGGAGCAGGTGTGGGTTGGGTCGGCATATAACTGTCAGCCGATGTATTCAAACACAGCGTGTAGTTAAACATCGATGACGTGATGTTGTCGGACAGGGAGGTCGGATCACAATCCA